GCAGTGCCAGGCCGGGCAATACTGCATGCAGTAGTGCTAGCTAGGTATGCATGTGGTCCAACACAGTGTGGCAACTCTCGCAGAAACTTTCGATCCCTGTACTGTAGTTTATCTTCGGCCAGCAACTAACTTTTTGAAGATCCAGGTAAAAACGCCGAACCAACGAAACAAATGTGAGCCAGCACGGAGCGCGGAGGTGCGCACACGCACACATTCCAGACCTTACCCGGTTACCGTCCACAATGTTACAAAAAAACATTCTTCATCGAAGCAAGAGTCCATGTCTTTATCGAAGAGTAACGCTCCGGGACTTTCACCGGACATTGACCATTGTGTAAGACCAGCTAACTAGCAGCCAACGCTGATAGCTGACTCGCCGCGATGCCGTTCTTGGGATTGGGAGGAAGCTGGGCTTTCTCCAGATGAGCTTTTGGCGGGGTCCTCTGATGATAGTGGCGTCGTCGAGTTGGAAACTGCAGATCCTGCCGCGATAGCGAGGAAGCGGTCTTTTCAGAAAACAGCTATTACCAAGTCTGAAAATGTTTCCAAAAGGACGCGAGTAGCTCATGGACAGAGCACTGAAGTGGCCATCAGTGCCGAAACACGGGTGCGGGAGTTCCCAGATGAGCCGCTCAAAAGCGACTGTGGCAAGTTAGTGTGCCTGCCATGCCATACAACATTGTCAGGGAAGAAGAGTATAATCATGTCCCATATTGCTACCGCGAGACACAAACAAGGAAAGTCCCGTTTGGAGAGGGAAACTCAGAGGCAGAAGCTGGTCAAGGAGTCCTTCTTGGCGTATCAGAAACGACTTGGGAAGGCTCTAGCTGGCACCGGTCTTACTTGGGCCGTTAGTTCAGCCGAGTCTGCGGCGGATCCAGATTGTGCGTTCTATGTTGCAAGCAGGAATCCCACTCGCAAAGGTTGATTACTTACGACCGCTTTTGGAGTCTGACAGAAACGAAAGATTGACTGACTCGAGCCACTTGTCACTCTATGTGCCGTTCCTCCTAGAGGAGGAAGTAAAGCAGCTGAAGGAAGAACTGAAAGAGGCCCGGTTTTGTTCCGTAGTATTTGATGGAAGCACTCACCTTGGGGAGGCATTGGTTTTTCTTAGCCCAATACTGCAAGGTTCAGGTGTTTATATTTCATCCGGCGGAGCATTATCAGCATTATTTGGAGCATTATATGGCCTTTTGTGGAGCATTTCTGAGAGCATTATATCCCATATTACCGAGCATTATCCGCCAACACCTAGTCACGGGTGGGAAGGTCACCATTGCCTTGCCATTGGCATTGGCATTGCAATATTGGTCGACGGGGATTAGGCTATCCTTGCGATGATGCTGACTGTGGATAGAACGAGATGAGAGTCGTGCCACGGCCACACTTTGATATACGTGCAAGTAGCAGAGCGTTCCCGCGTGACAATTTATATATTTCAATACCTTTTTTTCATTTGTGTGTTTCTTTCATTTGTTTCAGTTTTACTTCGAGTACACGCAGTTAGCCCTTTCCCAAAGGTGCTCTTTTAATTCGCACTTAGTGCTTTTCGCGTCCCTCAAAATATGCTGAAAAAGTGCTCATTTTTCAGTGAAAACAGGCAAAAAGTGCTCTTTTTTCAGTGAAGCATACCCATGATACATGTTCAGATATGAACTCAAGCTGAGAATTCAATACGCACTCTTCCATTTATGGTTCCACGAAAGGCAAAACAGGAAGTAAAATTAAAAAAACCCACTTTTTACTGCATTCTGTATACCGGGTACAAGCTTCAACAACTTGTTGCCCGAACCCCCCCCCCCCCCCCCCAAAAAAAAGCGGCGTGCCAAGGCCCATCGAGCCCTCGGAAACTGTGATCGCATGCATGAGCAAACAGATTTAGCACTTTTTCAGCTAAAAAAGCTCAAAAAGGGCGATATTCACCAAAAAACGCAATAAAGGGCGAAAGAAACGGGCTTTTCCAAAAAGGGCCAAAAAAGGCGAAAAAAAGGGCGAGCACCTTTGGGAAAGGGCTACACCGTCAGCCTACACGTACACGCAGTGCAGGATTGGCATGACGTCGCTAAGGCAAAGAAAAGCCTCTTAGTCTCACAATATACATGTACGTTGTAGCTATCATTCCTGATATCGCTACTGACAGTCCACATGGGACTGTGCGCAGGCTGGTGTCCTAGCCCAAGGACCAGGTACTAGGTGTTGTGGGTCGAACTCTGCACTATGACATGGCAGTTTAGCAGCACAGCTGGACCCAACTGGGTCTCCGACTCCCAGGATCATCATGCAACCACACAGAGTAGTGAGTGGATGAGAAGTGTAGGTGTTGGAATATTGTCGTGGGATGACGACTCAAGTATTTAAGTAGGAGAGTTTAGTCCGAAATATTATATCGATGCTCCCCCAGGCATGGCAGCCAGCTAACCAATGAATTCACACTTAAAAAATGGTCCGCTGGATAATGAACAATGGGAATTTTAGAGGAGTCAGCATAATCGTTTGTAAACCAGAGCAAAGCAGACCACGCTTCGCTTCAATCACATTTACGGTCTGTAACGACGTTGTTCAGTCACACGACACGTCACCATGAGTCCCGCAGTAGTAACTTGGTATGGTATTGCCATTGGACAGGAACATCACCTTGAGAGTCCACTTCCACTGATGGATTCCCATCAACAGTCTTGACGTGAAGTTCTTTTGCACGAGTCCGCACTGGCCAGGTACAGGTAGGTGTTAGTGCCAACCACTGTCACTGGTGCTCAGTCAACAGTGACTACCAATTGGAGCTCTTTACCACATTATCAGCAATACAAGTAGTTGTAGAGATGGCCAGAATACAGCCACACCCCCACTAAGATATGTGCAGCCTAACTGGGTACTATAGGGTCAAACCGCCAACTGAAACTCCATACTGAGCGAATCCTTCCCTTTGGCTTGAGACAGTTTCCAGCTGATGACCCATCGCACGGACGTGTTGCTACAAGGATTCTCCAGGATGGGTCGACAAGTCCCATGCTACCTTCGCATTCTGCTACGTAGTTTTACGGATAAGAAAATGGATCAAGGAAATCGCCACAACATGTACATATACCACGTCAAACATCCGCCTCTACAAAGCGAACGGTAACAAAATCTCTACATAAGTGTCCTCCTCATCTCTCGCCTATCGCGGCTCTTCTTATGCTCTCCAAACGTATCCCCTGTAGCCCTGGCGACCTTTCATTTTCACCGCGCCTCTTTTGGAAATCGCAGGCACGAAAACAAGGCATCACCCAATTATGTTTCCCCGCGGGGAGTAGATTTTATCAGGCTTGTTGTTACAAGTACAATGTGCATGTAAGAGCATGTTCACGACACTTCTAAAATGCTTTTCCAAAAGTCACGCACGAGCAGTCATAGGAAAACACACACGCGCTCTTGTTTGTAAAGGCTGACGTATGGGCTCTTGGACTCATGGACGCATGGGCTAATTGGACGCACAAAATTCAATGCACCTCACGCCTACAACGATTCCAAGCCAATGGCCTGCTATGAATATTTCTTGTTAGCCCTGCACTATTTTGCAGATCTGCTGCAGACAAGTACCGCGGTAATACTGATACTCCATCCTGTTCGTCAGGGCGCGGGTGCCAGAGACAGCGTCAGCCTGCGCAAAGACCGCATCACAGTCATGTTCATGTGCGATTCGCATCCGGGAGTCGCATCCCTAGGCGCTAGGCCCTGACTCGCACTGTCCACGCGCCGACGTTGTGGTTTTCGCACGTTGCCAGTTCACACTCTTCCACGAAGGGCCAAACCGCGTGAACTCTCCCTATAATAATCACTAGTCCGTAGTCGTTGTGTTACGCTTGACGTTGACTTACCTCATGGGCTATGTCATACTCCTCGTGCATCATCTGCAGCACAGCTACGTTGAAGACGATGGCCATCGGAGGGTCCTCAATGGCGTCGAAGCACTCGTACGACTGCTCGTAGCGGCCCGCCTGCCAGTACTGCACAGCCAGATCCCACTGGTGACTGATGGTCTTGTAGTCCATGTTGTCCACGCAAACAGGCCGGACACCTCCTCCGCTAGCTCAGCCGTATGGCTGTTGGCGCCTTTTGACAGCACCGTCCAACACTACACGGACGCACTGTTCTCTTCTGCCTCCTGGTGTGACAGTCGCTACCGCACAAAAACGCAAGAAGACTGCGAGAACGTTACTGTGCGGAGTGTGTTCTCACTTTTTATCTCCAACAAACGTCTGTGGAAGGATCCGCGGGAACCAGTGTACGGCGTGTGTGTGGCTCTCTATGGCTCGGCCGAACGCTCAACCGTGCATCATTCATGCCGCACAACCCGATCGTCGGGTAGAATGCTGAGTATTGCGAAATTACTGCAGATAGCATGCCTGATGCAAAGCCGGTCATATCCTAGCTGACCTATACTAGAATAGCCTAGCTGGCCTATACTATACTATAGCCTTGCCTAGCGAACTATCAATCTTGTCACGTACATGTACGCTCACAAGGCGACAGCGTGGCACACACACGAAGCGGCGGAGCAGAGCACGTGCTGCGGAGATGCTAAGCTATTCGGAAAGGCGAGAGGAGTGCGTTTTCCGGTGGCTGCTGCAGGGTCAAGAGGATAATGAAGTGACGCCTTGAAAGCCTCTCGCGCCGTTCCTTCTGGCACCCCGGAAGAGGTAATCGCAACCTGACAGCATAGGTAAGTATTCCCTCTACACTACACGTATACACATGGTACATGCCTAATGGCTGGGCTGGGGTCATGCCTCATGGTCACAGCCTCACAGGACGCGAAAACAGCGAAAAAGTTCATTCTGGACCATCCTAATCAGGCTAATGAGTAATGGCAGGACTGTCACTTGTTAGTGTTTGCACTACCCACACACATACCGCATTTTAAGCGTAACCATAGTACACTGACTGTATAGATAATGCCATTGGAATGGCTAAATAACAGGATTGGGGTGGGTGCGGACACACCTCATTATGATAGGACGCAGGGCCTAGGGCCAGCCACAGCAACAGTAGCCGGTCGTGTAGGTCCTTGATCGAGTAGCTAGCTAGACACTGAACGTGTCTGAAGGAACACGTGTGGCGCACACCACTTCACGTGTCACATTCGGGCATTTCTGATGTTTCGTAGTGATTGTCTGGTAGAATGGACTCGGATGGAGAGCGAAGGATAAATTTATAGAAAAGAAAAGGACCAAGGAACTACAAGTTACGCTATAATGTCCACTAACACCACCAGTTACTAAACAATCAGCTCATGCGATAACATTGCACGACACTGACCGACGTGACCGACGTTCTACAACTAACTGGCTAGCAGCACATCTTGGATGCGCACTCCAACAGCCTTCCAACTAAATTACTTGGAAGGTTCTAAGTTACAGAAATAACACAAGGAGGATTGTCTATTAGTATTAGCATTACGTTTTTGTAGTGCGCCACACCAGGGATTGGGTCAGTACCAGCAAGAGTACATAAACCACCAGGGATAGCGGGAGTACTGTGGTCTGTGAAACTATTCTAGTTTTTAATACTTTTTTGAAGCACTACTCAGTGGTTCATAATATTATAATGCTCATCATCATTACTACTACTACCGTCCATGTACGAGCTCCTAAGTCCTAGTGCTACAGTACTGTCCCTGGCCAAAGAAATCCGTCCCACGAGTCAAAGCGGCGCCGCGCATTTCCATTTCACCCATGGCCCAAAACCCATCCGAAAGGCCGCAGCGGCCGCATTACCGGTAGCCTTGGCCCTGCTTTCGGGTCATGGGTCGGATTCCTGTGGCCACAACTGTACATTGTACACTTTGGAGCAATGTGATGCAGTCACTGAGTGTGTCAGGTATGTTCCAGGTGCAAATCTCACACACGGTCAACTATGCATATGTGTATTTCACTATCTACTTCAAGGACCGAAGCCTACCAGTACTTACCATGCCTACCCTTAGAGGAAGTGAAGTGCTTGAAGCTAAAGTGAATGCAACACTGACACGCGGGAATTCCATTGATGATGGCGAACACATACAATGTAGTTATGGAGCCTGGGCCTTGGTACTGGTTGAACCGTACTCTAGACTAGTCAGTAGTACTAGTACTAGTAGTGCTAGTGGGTAAGTAGAACTGAAGAGCGCTTGCAGAGCATTTCCGCACTAGTACTAGTATGGTGTATAAAGAATACTCTTATACATCGCAGGATGCAGCCTTGCCCCTTCATCTGTATTTATAGAGCATACTGTATAATACAGTACGGCCTGTTTTGGTGCAAACAACAACAACAACAACAACAACAACAACAACAACAACAACAACAACAACAACAACAACAACAACAACAACAACAACAACAACGCGCGCGGGTGCCTCTATGTTATTCCGTAACTCATCCAGGACTCACCCAGGACTCGTTCAATGAATAAAGTTTCTTATCAATATTAAAGGTTAAATTTATACAAAAGAGAAAGACCAAGGAACTGCAAATTACGCTATACTGTCCACTAGCACCACCAGTTACTAAACAATCAGTTCAGCTTAGAACCTTCCAAGTTGGAAGGCTGTTGGAGTGCGCATCCAAAATGTGCTAGAGCTGTTAGCCAGTTAGTTGTAGAACGTCAGTGCCGTCGATCAGTGTCGTGCAATGTTATTGCATGAGCTGTTTGTTTAGTAGCTGGTGGTGTTAGTGGACAGTATAGTGTAACTTGTAGTTCCTTGGTCTTTCTCTTTTGTATAAATTAAACCTTGGCTCTCCATCTGAGTCCATTTCTATCAATAAGGTGTCCAAGATCTTGAACTACACATCGAAGTTCAGTACTATGGCTCTGTCACGAACTTTGATCGAACTGAAAAAGCGAAACAAGTAACTTATAACATTAAGGATGTACATTAACCCTGGGAAATTCCGATTTTTTAACTGACCACACTCCTCACTACCAGAGTTCCTTTGGTATTTGTCTTCGCACTATGTATTCAGCCCCTCTACCTAGTCTTACCTCACACCTCCTCTTTTCTCTAACAATGCTAACCGCTGAGATGAAGTGGTCTGGAGACGGAGGGGAGTGCCCACAGTCAAACAGCCACCATACCAAAGCCATGAACAGCGTGCATGCATCCTACAATCCGGGAGACGTCAACCAAGTACTGCACTGGTAATACTGTCCACCATGCTGGATAGGGATGGTCAGGCTTTCAATTCATGGCGGTGCGCTTCGTATGTGGACTCTTCTACGAGAGGTGAGAACTCGTCGAGCTGACATTGTTTGTCTTGAGCCTTATTGGCACTGAATGAAAGTACTTCTTGTAAGCCTTGATTGTCAGGGTCTTCAGTCAGTAGTGCCAGGACTGTACTGTACTGCATGCGTGTGGAGTAGTTTTGAAGAGATGTCAGCGCAAATTCATGTACGTCGTGTGCTTGGCCTGGCAACCATTGACAAACTCCAGGGGACCGCTGAGCGCAGCGACCTGAACAGCTGCAGACTACTCAATC